AAAAATTAACTCTTCAAAATTCTGAGTTTTAACTCGGAATTTTAAAATTCCGACTCATATCTCGGAATTTTATATCCAAAATTCCTAGTTATAACTCAGAATTTTAAAATTCCGTGTTATAACTCGGAATTTTACATCAAAGTTCCGACTTATTGCACGGAATTTCAAAATTCCGAGTTATAACTCGGAACTTTGGATGTAAAATTCCGACTTATAACTCGGAATTTTACATCCAATTTTAAAATTCCGAGCAATAAGTCGGAACTTTGATGTAAAATTCTTTGGATGTAAAATTCCGAGATATTAGTCGGAATTTTAAAATTCCGAGTTAAAACTCAGAATTTTGAAGAGTTATTTTTTTTTATTTCACGTGTCCCTTCCAGGCCTTCGTAGACAACAGCTATCTAACTGGGTACAAATGAAACTGAAAGTGCTTGATACGGATTTGTACAGTGTGACCCACTTCTAATGGAACCACCCCTGTATCTTACGTAATCGTTGGGTAAGGATCCTGAAATTTGCTGGAGCGAGAGATATACCAAAAATGCACTCTATGACCAAGTGGGGTCATCTTCAGTGATATACACTGCTCGCCAACAGCCATGAAACTACCCCAATTTCCGGAAAATGATATTAGGAGTCAAAATAGGTCGAAAATTACTTCAGATTTGGAATCAGGACCGCCCAATTTATTCAAATTTTTCCTGGAAAATTTTCAGTTCGGAAAAATGAAATTTTGTCGCATTTTTTATGGAAGCACCCCCGTATCTCACGTAACTGACTTTATCTTTGGACTTTCTCTTCCTCCGGAAAATTTCAGAACCCTACCTCAATAATTACGTGAGATACGGGGGTGCTTCCATAAAAAATGCGACAAAATTTAATTTTCCCGAACTGAAAATTTTCCAGGAAAAATTTGAATAGTTAGTATATTAGTATATTTGGCGTCCTGATTCCAAATCTGAAGTTATTTTCGACCTATTTTGACTCCTAATATCATTTTCCGGAAATTGGGGTAGTTTCATGGCTGTTGGCGAGCAGTGTATATCACTGAAGATGACTCCACTTGGTCATAGAGTGCAATTTTGGTATATCTCTCGCTCCAGCAAATTTCAGGATCCTTACCCAACGATTATGTAAGATACAGGGGTGTGGTTCCATTTGAAGTGGGTCACACTGTATATGTATATCATAATTATGTGTAATTGATACACTGTATTTTTAAAATTTTTCCGCCCCCCTTTTTCGTTGGGGAATATGTCTGCGGACGCCCATGAGCATCGACGAAAGATAGTCAAAAGTGGATCGCCGCTCCACCAGAGCACAGAATGATAATTCAGCCAAGGGGAGGCTTTCGTGCGTATCTTCCTGCTTGTTGAGGTAAACGGCCTGGAACGTGTATGAAGATACCTGCATAATTTTGGGGCTTCGAGTTATATGAGCTCATGAGGATCAGTTATTATGCTAAACATATGGATCATTCACCCGTTTGAGAGAAATGAATTACAATATTATGACTTTTACATTTTTTCTACGGCTGCCCATACACTGCCAGCTTAAAACAACCTTTTTGTCTAATTTGCAGTTGCAACTTCTGCTAACAGTTGCAACTTCTGCTAAAAGTTGCAACTATAAATAAACCCTGATATACAGTTGCAACTAACTATCAAATCATCAAATCAAATCTTTATTGTAGATCCCAAGAACCACATATGTTTATGATAGGGACACATAACAATAAAAAAATGATTACTGTCTGTAGAGTGTAGGTTAATCGAAGAGGTCTTTTTTGTCTACACATCTCCTAATTTACAATAGCAAATTCAAACATGAGTACTCGAAGTGGATCCAAATCAACTATACTGTCTGTAGGTTAATCGAGGAGGTCTTTTTTGTCTACACATCTCCTAATTTACAATCGCAATTGTAAACATCAGTACTCGAAGTGGTTCAAAATCAACTATACAGTGTGTTCAGTTTTCGCGCGATATATCAGTTATTTTTGGAGATACAGTGTTGCGGTTTTCACATTACTCCCTGTACTTCTTTTGTGAAACGAATAGTGCCGCAAACAGTATTTCCACAGTTCTTCATGTTTTGAGATACAGGGCGAAGTTGAAAATTCTCAATTTTTGTGCACCTCCTTGCTTACTTTTCAATTTATTGGCAGGAATGGGTCCTTATACAGTGAGGACGTAAAAGTCCTCTCCCCCCTTTAGTCTTTGAACGGAACAAGCTAGCGAGGTCGGGTAAAATTCAGGCAGAAAGGTACCTCTTTCACTACTATTTGGCATGGAATTTGTGCTGGTAACGTGACCTAGTGTCAAGTGGACACCATACACATACAGGGTACGAGGGCAATGAAGAGGCAGACTCACTTGCCCGAGCAGGAGCAAACAAAGCTCTTAATGGCCCAGAACCCTTCTGTGGTATTGCGAAAGCTATACAAAAGACTAGTATCAAATCATGGATGCAAACTAAATCTCAAGAATGGTGGAACAACTCGCCAGGAATGAGACAGGCAAAAGAGTTTATTAAAAAACCATCGCCAACATTCACAGAATATCTACTGAGCCACAAATGAAGTTCAACTACAATACTAGTGGGACTTCTCACAGGGCATTGTAGGCTCAACAAACACATGAGTACGATAGGTCTGACTGAAGAACTGCTGTGCAGGTTCTGTCAAGAAGAGGAAGAAACAGCAGTACACATACCTTGCCACTGTGAGGGCTTGTCAAGACTAAGGTTCCTTACGCTGGATCTGGAAAGGTCGCAGTGTGGAGGCAGATAGCCCGAAGGCCCCATTCCAAATCTATATGAGAAAATATTTTAGCTCCATTTTTTGATAATGGGCGATTACAGAGATAACACGAGTACGCCACTGTATTATACGTACAAAGTTATATAAGGCCCCATTCTCATATTGCCGATAAGTTGAAAGGTAATCAAGATACAAGAGGTGCTCAAAAAGTGTGAATTTTCAACTTCTCCCTGTATCTCAAAAACATGAAGGACTGTGTGAAAATTTTGTTTGCGACATAATTCGTTCCGCAAAAAAGTAAAGCATAAATGTGAAAACCTCAACATTCTTATTTCCAGAGATGATTGAGATTCGCGCAAAGCATCGAAAACCACACTGTACACAACAAAATGTTGTAACTTATTGTGTCAGTTTGATGTCAATCAAGGTAATAGCCGCATGATATCCGTATTTTTTGTATTTTTTTGTGCCAAAAATTCGCATTCATAATGGCCACGGCCCCACAAGCGGGGGCGAAAACTGCCAATCCATTCGGCAAGAAGGAAGAAGTCTATGGATTCCAGACCTTATTTCGGGAACTAGGGTACTACATCTCGCGACTGGAACATTACGAAAAATGTAAGTAGGTACCTATCTTCTCATATAATATGTAGATTGTAGCAGGGTCGAATAGTCTATGAAACCTCCCAACCTCTGCAACCGAGTAGATTGTTCTAATTTTGAACTTCTAACTTCCAACTTCTTATGAAACCTAGGCTTTTCTTGACGTTGAGTTTCCTACCTCAGCCTGTTCCAAGTGGTGAAACCTTCAATGAACCTATTTGATTGTCTTTGACCTTTCATCAGTTTCACAATTTTCTACTGATCATCAAGAGCGTCCTTGTAGATGTCAGTCGCCTTCTGATCAGAATTAGTAGTTCTTCAATTCTTATGTGACCTTCAATTTATCATCTTTGCAGGGGTGTTTTCCTAAGAGATTTTACTCCTCGCCAAGCTTCCATCTTATGGCTTGCCTCCCCAGCTATGTTCTCTGCTAGCTAGTTTTCTCTCGAACAGGTCTCACCATGTAGTGGTCGACGGAGTTTCATCTGACTCTCTTACCATAAATGCTGGTGTTCCGCAAGGATCAATTCTAGCACCAACACTTTTTCTACTCTATATCAACGATTTGTTGGGAGCAACTTCATGCCCAGTACACAGCTTCGCGGATGATAATACCCTCCATACCGCCTTCTCTTCCAGGGCTCCAATACTAGCCAGGCAAATCAGAAACGAACGAGGGAAAGTTGTTGACAACATGAATATGGACTTGGCAACAATTCTCGAATGGGGATCCAATAACTTGGTTGATTTCAATTCAAACAAAACACAAGCATGCCTTTTGTCTAGAAAAGCCGATCTTACTGTGCCCAACATAATCTTGTCAGGAGTAACCATACCTTTGAAGACATCCATTTCGATGCTTGGTATTACTATCAGCAATAACCTTTCTTGGAGAAATCACGTGAGATCAATTGCTAAAAGTGCATCCCAAAAACTTGGTTTTCGGTTTCGGGACAGGAGCTATTTCACTTCCAGTCAGCTGTTTATCAGATCTGACCTGTCCTGGAATACTGTTTCCATATTTGGAGTGCGGCACCCAAACATACCCTGAAACTATTGGATTCTGTCCAAAAAAGGGCAATTCGTCTAGTGGGTGATGCCTCACTCACAAACCCACTCACTTATCTGGAACACCGTAGAAAAGTTGGCGATCTGGCTCTTTTCTATAGATATTTCCATGGACGATGCTCTTCTGGAATATCAAAAATTTGCCTTCCTTGGCAGTCCCCGCGAGATTAACCCGTCGAGTTGAGGCCTCGCACCCCTTCGTGGTCAATTTGGAGACCTGCAGAACATCTCTTTCCAAAGAGTCGTTCATCCAACGAACAGCGAGGCTCTGGAACTCATTGCCAAGGGAGATGTTCTCCGAGGCAGATAACCTCCAGAAATTCAAAATGATCACCAATTCCTCCCTTATTTCCCTTACAGGATATCCCTTTTCGTGGGAACCAGAACATAAAGAAACAACTTATGGTAGCTTTGGGGGTAGTATAGAGATTATTTATCGTGGAGTGATTTTTCAAACGATTTCAAATCAAACTAACTTCCAGCCCTGAAGTTTTTCGATGAAGCTATCAAGAAGACGCCCAACGATAAGAGGGCATTGATCGGTAGGTCCAGGGCCAGAGCTAAGGCATGCCAGTACGAAGGCGCTATAGCTGACGTCAACAAAGTGCTCGACTTAGATCCGGATGACTTGGTGGTTCTGGCCGACAAAGCCTTAAACACCTACTTGAACTGCGAGTTTGAGGAGGGCCTCATCCAGAACACCAGGCTGCTGCCAGTCAGACAAAAGCCGGATCACTTTTCCATGGGAGTGATGCACGTGAGTACCTTTTTGATTGGCTGTTCAGGTATCTCAATCATATGTCTCGCTAACACAGTAGCTTCGTCAGGTGATATACTGGTACGATGAACTTGTCAGCAGACCGAGAGCGGCTGATGAGACCGGGTGGGTCGAAACAGTACTGTATCGCTTCTGCTGACAATTGGGGCAACTCTGTTCATCCTGGATCTCTTAGTTATGAGATCTAGCAGTTGAATGTTAGATTGAGTTTGTTAGAAAGGCACACTTGCGAAACTTATTCGTTTTGTTTTCTGGTGGGTGTAATACAATGTTACACGTAGCATTAGCCAGAAAGGTAAATCGAACGTAGGCATTTAGAAATTACATCGAGTAATCTCTTTTGTTCGGTGTTGGAGTTGAATACAGTAAAATATCTACACTGTACGTGAATCTGTTAGATCATCTGTTTTTAGTTGATTGTGGTGAGAAGTATTTTTTTTTCTTAATTCAGTGTACCAACGCAATTGAGAACTGTCTAGGGGAAAGGGCTGGTAGGCCCTTGCGTGACCATTTCAAGATAGTGCGAAAATTGGCATGGAAAAGAAACTACGAAGCCCAAAAACCGTTTGAACCGAAACCCAAACAGAAGAAGTTTTCGAAAAAGAAGAAACCTAAAAAGGTTTCGGAAGTCAAAGATACCGATGAACCTGTCATGCCGAAAACCAAAAAGCATAAAAAGGGCATATTCAAAGAGTATACGTCGGACCCAAATTGCCTCAGTGAGTATATCAAATGAAGTATCATAGAAACCAAGACACACATCTTGCTTTGTTTATCTGCTATTTCTTAGATTGCTTATCGCCATACTCATTTCAGTAAGAAATGTCTCCTGCGCCGCCATTTTGAAAACAAATGTCCGCTAATTTTATTATCTATGTCATTGAAAAAATATTGTTTCGTTCTATCTACACTCCACAGGGTAAAACCTAAAAGAAAATGAATTGGCATTTTATGTAAAATATGAGTTTCGAAGAACTTGAAATGTCTACGAAAGTCTAACACAAATGACTTTATTGTCACTGGGTATAGGGCAATTTTCATTTTACCTGCATCAACTTCGAAAATTGTAGCTCATGATGATTTCTTTTTGTATTCGAGGTTGAGATGCAATAATTTATTGCCCTTTCCTCAGAAAGAACTTGTATAGTCGCTGTGTTTTCATCAACACCTGGTAAACAACGTTTTTCTATGTTTCTCTCGATTTTCAGGTATAGCTGATAGTTTGCACAGCAAAACATCTGAGAAACTAGTCATCCCTCCATATGAACAGTCATTCCTCTTTTCTCCTATGCAGAAGTACACCACGAACATAGATAATTACATGGCAGAAAAGTATCTGGATTCGATGTATCTCGATAAAATATTTTTGAAAAAATTGCAAAAAGAACCGGGAGCAGCTTGTCCTAACAGAAAAGGTTCGATGAAAATCCAACAGCTTGCCAAAAACGGATTCAAAACCGTATCATACAAACAAGTGAGTATACATTACCAACAGTAGATGATTGACGCTGGTTCTGAATCTCTCCAAGGTCAGAGTGGGATGACCTTTAGAAGATTTATCTGTTCATTCCCAATATGAAACTATCTCTCCCCAATACGATTGTATTTAGTTTGGCGTCAATATACTCATAAAATCTTCACACGCGGGAGGAAATTGATACCTTTCCTCCCTTGATATATAAATATAGCTATTATTTATATTGTTATCTTCCTTTCAAAAATTCACTGAAGTCAATCCATTCAAAGATTCAATCCTCCCGAGGTCATCCATTTTATTCGAGATCACTCGTATGAAACCCAACCCTATGAATCTTAGTGTATCTACATCACTACCGAAAATATGGATAGAAACTTACGCTATTTTGTCTTCTTATTATATCGTAGGAACTTTTGAGGACGAGAAGACCCTTTTACTACATCAAGTACCAGGAGGCTCGTCTTTCTGGTACCTTGGAAACTCGACAGGCCGAAGAGCTCACTCTGCAACAACAGAACCTGAGAAAAGAAGCCGATGCTTTACTGGGACGTCTGATTAATGCCGCTGTCGCCAAGAAACTGAAAACTCTCATCACCCTCACCGAAAAAATGAAGCATTACTGTGATTCCAAACCCAAGAGGTTGTTAGATATATTATCTTGCACTCACTTAGCGCTTCAATAAAATGGTACTTACTTAAAAATTGCTCATCTGAAATATCTTTTGAGGTTATTGCCAGAAAAGGAAGAGTACATAAGAAGCGCTTGCTCGCTGATGAGGAGAGGATTTTATGAGACCAATAGATTGAATCCGACCCAATATGGGTGGGATCAAGAGAAGAGGATCTACATCATGATGGGACTGCCAATCAGTCGAGAACCATCCTCCGATTCAATTATACAGGAACTGAAGAACGTATTCGTGGATTATAAGTAAGTAGAATACAAATCAAAAATATGCACCAATGATGAGTTTGTTTCAAAAATAGTCGAACTAATTCACAGTGATGCAATGGATATTTCATTTATCATTCACATATAATACTTCATGTCAACGAACTAAGAGACTTTTCTTGTAGGAAACAAATCGCAACTTTTGAAGAACGTCTTCAACACGTTGAAAGTAACGACGAACTCTGCTGGTGTTTCCACGAACTAGCTAGATACCATAGCGAAATGAAAAAGTGGGAACTTGCTCGAGTTTATAGCAGAAAATGCATTCAAGAAGGTACCCGATGCTAATAATTATTTTGGGGACGATGATATAAAGAAGTGATATATGTTAGTAGATAAGCTATGAGTGTTCTGAACCAAAATCCTATGAATTAGCTAATGGAAGGTCAATCTGGTGCAATTACATCAATTCAATGAAATGTATGTAAACAACTGGAAGGGACCCACTGTGAACGACGAGTGAGGCAAAAATATTTTTCAGGCAACCCGCAGTGTTTACGGATACCTATCTCTCTCTATCTTGTGTTGGCTAATGGGAAGCGCTCGCATAATTTGAAATATTTTCTCGTTTTTTGCTTTTATTCAAGAGTAAACGTGATTAAATAAAAATATTCATTTAGGAAAAAGGATAATGTTGTAATAAATTATCATTAAAAAATTATTACTGATTTTTTATTGACTTTAAAATGAAATTTCAATATTACTCTTACAGGATCAGGAAGTCAAATGAATACAAAATTGAAATTATATATTTTTATTCAAATTTCACAATATATTGTACAGGGTGAGCGAAGCACAATGTCTCAGAACTATCAGAAGGAAAAGAAAAACGATAGGAAAAATTTGAAAAGAGGTTCTTGAATGGTATTGATGAGTGCATTTTGAGCATAATTTCCATAGGTTCCCATTCCTCCATTAGGTCACTCATTAATTGTCATTACTATACCCACTGTTGGAAATTGATTGAACTACTTATTCTTTCATGTTTGAAATTTTTAGGTCTCTCCTTTTTACTTTTTGTCTCAGTGTGTTCACTTTTCTCCTCAATACAATATCCTTCTCTAATGAAACAGTTTGAGTTTCTTCATTGATCAACTTGGGAGCTGGAAGTGGTAGGCAAGTCAAAGTCAATAACATGGGAAACTTCTTCCTTTGGACCCAAGTTATGAACGTCCACAGATGCATCCTGAAAACAAATTACTAGCTAGTTTTTTTATTTCAAATAGGTGCAAACATACTTCTTTTTCATTATAAATCAACTAGGTACCTATGAGTTTTCTTATTTTCCTAGGGGAATCAGCATTTTTTTATAACAAATGCTGAGGAAATGAAAATATACTGGGTACAGCATCTGCTTTCAAAAACCTAGCAGTACCTGGTATGCCTGAATAATCTGTTGGCAGGAAATGCTCCCCACAAAGCTTGCTGCTTTTAGTTGGAGTCCAATTCTCACTAGGAACTGCCTTTATCCATAATTCGAGAATGTCTGGTCTTTTGAATGGAAAACTGCAATAAATAATATTACACAATATCAATATGGAAGTATTTAACTTTGACAAATAAAATAGGTATAGTTTTTGAACATATTCTGAGACTGGACATTGTAAACCTAACTGATGATCATTTCATGAACTATATTTTTCAAAAATCTGAGAACAATTCAACTTACCCATGGAATGCTAATTTCCTTTTGTTTTGTTCATTCTTCTTGCATCCAAAGGCGACACAATAAATCACCATTGTTTGTCAATACTAATCACAAACCTTCTCAACAATCAGTTCAGTGTTCACAACAACAAATTCAGTCCTTTTGTTACAACAAAACACGCCAAATGAATAGATATTTCACCTCGTATTTCACATGAACTAAGACAATGAACTTATGTCTTCACTTTCTTGCCTGTGTAGATGACAGAAAAAATTGTTTACTACTTTAATTATTAGATAAAAGAAAATTTATACACCAATCCACCATTAAACAACACGAGTTGGAAGAGGACAGGTATCCGTAAATCATGCTATCTTTGTTGCAGCTGCCCCTGACACACTTTGTGCTATTCGAGAGAACGATCGTATCCCTTCCAGTTGTATTGAGTTCATTGCATCAATTCAATCGACCTAGTGATATGTACAGAGAGTTGGAGTACCCAAATTCTGACAACATCCAAGGACTTTTAATAACTTTGACCACACCTTCCCAGCACCCACATCCATTTCTGCTCTGCAGCCATGACCTAATAAATGTTCAACACACTGGTGTTTCACTATAAGAGAATGCACTGGACTTTTGACAAAAACATTCAAAGCGTATCTACTTATGTACAGTCGTCTGCAGAGAATATTTTGCGTTTGGATGGTTTGTGCGCTCTTGACACTGGTGACACCGTCCTTTATTTATTTCATTCTTTGCTATAAACATTACATTGCATCTCATATAAATATAAATATAATCATTAACATTTACAATGGAATAACATGAATAATCAGACAGATTCTTATCTGGTATGAGATTATTCATGCGTTATCAAATTAAATTATACTTATTGAAATAAACAACAGAATAAAAAGAAATAAAACAAAAAGCTCATGAAAAGTACATTATGACATGATGAAATAAATTAGCCAATGAGAAATCATTCACTCAGGTTTGCATTTCTCTTTGCAAGAGGATATGTTTCTTGACTTAGATTTTGAATTGGGTGATATTTGTGCAACTTTTGAAATCATCAGGTAATTTATTGAATTTTGAGATAGCTCCGTGAGTGAACTTATTTTGACCAGGTGTAGAATGAGCAGCATCAAGATGAAACAAGTCATATTGTCTAGTATGATGTTCATGGATTTGAGAATTCCTTACCAATATGAAGTTAGATTTGAGGTATTTGTCGATAATATCAAAATAAATGTTGAGAGTATTTATCAAATAGTGCTCTTCCAAAAAAAAATGTATTTGTTTCTTCATAAAGTTGATTTGATGGGGTGTCATATGGAAGACGATACAGTACTTTTAATGCTTTTTTATATAGTACAGATATTTTGTTGAAATTATTCTTGGATCATAAACCCCAAATATTTATGAGATAGTTCATTTCACTAAGGATGTGAGAGTATAGAACAACATAATCTCTGAAGACGAGTGTACAAGTTTACCATATGTATAAGGGGTGGATTATCTCACTGCTGAACTTGGGTTGGTTCAGGTTATCTTTGATATTTCACCCGACTGATTTCTCCTCAATTTCTTTCAATATACATATGCTACTACTTACTGGTGTAGATCCAAAAAGGGGGTTGAGTTCTTTTTTCCAGGATTGTGTTGAATCCTCCAATGAAGCCTCACTAGTCATTCATTTATATTTGAGCAAGAATATGGATGTTATTACATCAATTATAAACATACCTTCAGTATTTAGTTGCTCTTCAGTTTTATTTGTTCAATTCATATGGTGTTTTTGATGACTGCAGGATACAGTTTTCTTATTGAAAGTTCATTCAGAGTTTAATTAGATTCATCTGGGTTTCAGGTTCCCATAAAGACAATTGGGAATGGGTTGTCAATGCAACAATGCTGCTTGTGAAGATAGATATCCAACAGCACAACAAGAACGATGCGAAAAACGAAATTAATTGTGCTTTGGATGTAGCCGCCCAACTAAATGATAGAATTTTGAAGGAGTATCTGGAGAAGGCAAGTTTTTAGGTGCTTCTTGAATCTTGTGAGGGTCAGCATCTCTGAGATCACTTAAAACAAACGAACGAAACTCTGGGAGACTCTTAGCTATTAATATTTCTACTAGAATGTAGTTTATTTGTTCTGGTGGTTACGATGATTGAAAAGACACTGATGTTTACCAAACAAAATCGCAACCTACTGAGTTCCACGAGTATGAATACGAAGGCGAGAGGGCCTGGTATACCTCCTTGAGGCAACCCACTAACAACACGTTCTCTCCAACTTTACAGTGCCTGACGGTGATAGACAAGATAGAATTCGACGACATTTACGGTCCCAAGGTGTTAGAACAACGAGAGAAGAGAATCTTGGCGATGATGTCCAATGGAAAGATGAAGGACGAATTCGCGCATCTGTTCAGAATGATGGCTGCAATGCCTGCGTCTAGAAGAATGTCGGTGATGCCCGGAATAAGGGTCCAAGAGATGGGCCCTAGTAGCAACAGAAAGGTATTTGATAGAGCTCAATGGAATCTCGTTTGTTCAATCATTTATTCTTCGCGAGTATGTTATCTGTTCGTAATACCTCGTGGAAACGGTACCATAAAACAGTGATAATTTCATGAGGTAACAACTGCATTGATGGTATTTCATTTGTTTATTTATTAATTCTTCGCCAGTATATTATCTGTTTGCGTGGATATGGTTCCATAAAACAGTAATAATTCCCAAAAAAAATGCATGTTAATGATCATGAAAACTTTCTTTCGGATTTGTTCGCAGAGAAGTAGTAGAGTAGAATTGAGCCTATTTAGTGTGCTTCAATCGCAAAGGACAATCTCTTACGGTGCTTCACAAAACTTATTAGAATATTTTTTGCAGCAATCTTCCCGAAAACAGTCTATCCTTCCGGCAGACCATTCCTCCCGTGATTCCACACCTGCCTTGCCTAAAAAGTCAATGAAAGATCAAGACAAAGACGCTAGAGGTGTAGGGTTCATGGAACTTGTGCAGTATCACGTGTAGCTTCCCTATTTACGTTAATAAAATCTGAAGAAAATTGAGTCGAGTCAAGTTCCAGCTAGATGATATTATGAAATTTACCATGTGTATTTCTGGGTTGATTTCTTCAAAAACAAAAACTATAGAATTCAATAGCCAACGTTTCGGTAGTTTATGAAGAAACCTATCACATAATCGTTATCTGATCTATACAACCTACTCATCCTGATACTTCTTCTAAACGTAACACTTCGTTTTATAACATGATATATTAATAAGTACATCGAGTATATATTGATTAATAGGGAGACATCAATAATTACTGATAGAACTGAAAAGACTTATGATTTTTCACCAACAATTATTGTAACATACTAATGAGAAGAAGTATCTTGGGATATGGTTCGATGATGAATTGCAGTGGAACAAACATGGAAATATTGACAAAAACATGTATCTCCTGCTATTATTGGAACTCTGAGAAAATGACCCAATCGTCATAAAAAAAGTTGCAATCATAGCCTCCATTATCACATCTCAGTAGCACTAACTATTTGATGAATGTTGAATATCTGCATCATGATAGAAAGCCGCTGAAACAACTGTAACGTTCACTATACGATACACCAACAAAAATCAATTATATAATATACCTAACAAAAACACTTTGATTATAGTATCAATGAGAGATGGGATTCTAATTTGATATTAACAAAAAACTATGGAATTCATGTTCACCAAACTAGACAATAGAACTTCAAGAGGATAAAAAAGATTTACTCACGCTATTTGAATATGATGAATTAGGTACCTGTAGATATAAAACAATTTCAGAAATATAATCAAATTCAAAAACTCATTATTTCTGACTGAAATAGCTGATCTATCCATGTTTTTTTCAATTTTGTTCTCTACCAATATGAAATTGATCAAGGTGAATGTGGTATGTGATAGACAATATTGATTATTGAGTGTAAACAAATATTTGCAGGCGACCATAGATTTTGGATGCTTACCAAAAAATATCTCATACAGAATTTTTGGGAAAAAATAAAAAGACAAACCGATCGAGTTCAACGATATTATTTATTCTTTCTTTCTGTCTTTGGTTTTCGGAACAAAACATGGGTAATCACTAGAAAACCTACTTACTGTACAATATCTTCTCCAAGTTTTCAGACAAGAACAACTATATGCAATTCAAAAAATGGAACAAGTTTTATATAACTTTTATTTAGATTGATTCAAGTAATCACGAATATTGCTAGGTTTGTAGATTTGATTATAAATACTTTGATTTATTTTTTTACAAAAAATAAGACATTTCCTATTCGAGGCAAAACTTTAGAATGTAAGTGAGTTTTGATGGATATTTTTTTACAATTATTGAAATAGAATACTGTGTTTTTCATCGAATCTACTATACACATTGATTCTATATGTTCTTAATTTCATAAAGCTACGATCAACAAAGATGTCACATTCGTTAATCCAAGATTTTTTTTCTAACTAACTCAAATCAATTAGATTTATCTTGCATTTAAACGTGAGACTTATATAATAAGTCCATAAAACTTCATATTAAATACTTTATGTTGATCATAAGATTGAGTTCCAGTAAATCAAATATTTTGTATTAGTAAAAGTCTTTCAGCTCGATATTGAACTTATTTTGATTTCAGTGTTTATCACATAAAATATTCTGACGAACTTTAAATTTCAACAATGAGCAACGAATTTTTCCTCTTAGGACAAAATAGGATGAGTGAGAGTTGCTCAGCTGTGTGCACATATATATTAATAATTCTACAAATCTTGTAGTTGGTGCAAAATAAATAATTTAATATCACAGCAGAGCGCTTTCGGCTATTGAGCCATCATCAGTGCATACTTGTGCTGATTACTTACTTACAGGTATGCACTGATGATGGCTCAATAGCCGAAAAAGCTTTGCTATGATATTTTGAATAAACTATTATGCACGAAATACAAGATTTGTACAATTATTTTTAAAATAGGATGAAGCGACTTTGAATTTTTTGGGACTGGAATTCACCCTATGATGAGACTAGCTTGGGATTCTAAGAACGAAGAAGAAAATTTAAAAATTTTAGAAAATAAGTATCAACAAAATAGATTCTTATTATAAACTACAAACAATCACAAAATGCATAAAAACATTAATGTTTCACGATAGGAGATATACAGCAAATATAAGATATAAATGAGGAACAATGAAATAGAATGAAATTCTAGTAGTTTCTAATAGGAACCATAAAAAGCTAAAATATTGGAGAATCATCAGATATAATAGAAACTTTGGTAATTATCTTCAGCATCCTTCAATTTGCTGCATATTCCGATTTCAAAACTATCACAATATTGTCATAAAACATTCTCAAAAAGTTATAAAAGCACTAACACATCTCGCCTACCAAATATATTGAGCATGCTTCAATTCAAATCTCTTGTGTATGAATTTGAATCTACCTCTCGGACAAAATATCATTCAAACAAATCATCATTTCTAGAGTTTCAAAACCACTTTGCTGCAAAATGTCTTTTTCAATCGACTGATCCAAGTTTAACTAAACTACGTGATCAATTCATATATCACGGAATTTTTGGAATCAGAACTCCCAGCTGTCATTCGGTCAAGCATCAACCAATCACAGATCGCCGACCGGTTTTTTAGATGTGGTAGATGCATTGATTGATGTTTCCTTGCTATTTTCTTTTTCGTCGTTATCGGAAAATTCTCACGTCAAACAAGCCTATTTGAATTTCATATACTTTCGATACTCTAGAAATTATGAACTAATCTGAAGAATACGTTATCACCGTGAATATTAAAGGTGACATTAATTTTTTTTAGAATTTGATACAACAAAATATCACGAATATAGTCAAATAGAACAAAAATTTTGTGTTCGATAGACGTTCTTAGAATTTGAAAAATTGTACTGACGTTTCTCAATTCTCCGCATTACATCTTGAACAAATGAAGAAATTCATATCTTATTTAGAAAATAATCATTTCATTGATTTTGAAGGGCTTTCAGTACGCTTTCTGAAGAATATTCGAGTAGTAATATCAGAATCTCAAGGCTCTAAAAAAAAACAAAAATCACTGCACCATATTCAAGTGATTCGCGTTAAAAAATAACATATGTCTCCCCACCTGACGGGAACAACTTGAACACTTCTGAGCGGTTTGTTTTGATGATATGACCAATAAGCACAAACAAAAAACAAATGGAAGCAAAGTAAACAGGCCGCTTTGACAGCTTTGAAGCACTCCGATAGGTGGCGCACGCTTATTTTCAATCGCGATCACTTTAATGGGCGATAAAAATTCCTTCAATTGTTCAATTCCATCCTACAACACTTTATTCATTCGATTTGACGCGTGAAATAACAATGCATACTGGCCCTCTCACTATTCGAAGTAGCTCGATGATTTCGCTAGTACTCATATGTTCTATGCTTTCATCATTCACCTGCAATCAAAAAGATGAAGAATTTAAGATCCTGAAATAGTAGGCAAATCACTGATTAGCAAGTATTACTATACTTTCTCTACGACTACACTCATTTCTTCTTGTGTTCGGTATTTCATAGGTAGCTCTGTATTTGGGAGCAGATAGAGGACAGTGCATATACCGGTTGTCAACGAATCTATTAGACAAGCCATAACTTCTAGAATGTTCGGTGTATCAGAATGAGTCTCTTGATAAACAACACTCAGGTTTGCACTTTTTACTTTGATTATACATTATTTTGATAGAAAATTAAATTGAAATTCAACGAAAATGAAGAAACGTTTACTGGCTTATGTCTCTGCCATTACCTGGATATTTTGTTTTCCAATGCGAAGACTCGAAAAAAATAACTGAAAATATTATGCATCATTGCTATCCATGGCATACTTGACATATATGTGAATAAATGAATATTCAGTATTTTCCTCAGTAATATTGAATTTGTGTTGTAATTTCCAATCCAATCGCAAATGAAGTACCGTTAGATTCGTCGAAAAATTCTTTTTTCGGATAGTGCTTGTAAAAAAATGGTTGCCATTTGAAAAATATCAATTAGACACTGAAATGTTTCTTGTCTTCTTTGTACCTATCATACTAGTCAATAAAACTGCAATTATAATTTTATGACATCACCTTGATAAGTTTATGTCTGATCATGGCCACCTAAAAAAATATAGTAGACGTGAACACTTCTGAACATATCATATTCTGATCCAGAATTGTCTCCGGAATTCAAATTCCATTTAAAAATTCAAAACCTTAGCCAGTTCCGGTGAAACCGGAAGTGACCGGGAAGTGAGAAATGTGCCAAAGATTTCCTTTCTACATACCATATAACCATATCAAATTTCATTTTGATACACCCAATATTCTAGGAGTCATCGCTTGTCTAATAAATTCTTTGACACCCGGTATTTTCACAGTACACTCTTTCATATTTTGTCATCAAAATTGTGGACAGATCAGGAATATTTCCAATAACAGCACCTGATTACCAAGAGATAAGCCAACATTCAAAAATCTGTGAAACTTATTCGCATCGTCAGTCGACCAATGGTAGTCATAGAAGAACAAAATGATCTCAATGTAAATTCAGGTAATCAGACGAACCTTGATCAGTCGATCTCCTGGCTTCAAACGGCCATCTTTCGCAGCAACACTATCAGCATGAACAGCACTGACATAAGTGACACCTGCAGCACCTTGCAAACTGAAACCCAATCTGCTGTTCCAACCTCGGTTCAATTCTATGGCAAGAACCTGAAAAATTCCACGTGAAATATATAATATTCATCGGATTCTCATTGATAGAGACGTATTTGAATCACATTGTAATCGAACCACCGCTGGTGAGCAGACCTACTAATTGTATCAATCGATATCTATCGATTTGTTGACTCAAATTCATCATAAGCGATAAGACACAACATACAAGGTGTTTTTGAAATAAGTGCACATATTCAGCACACTAAAATGATACAGTCTAAGAAATATTCCCATGATATCAGATTTTTTCTAATTCTTCTAAACGAGATATTTCATCCCAAATAATTGAACAAAATAAAAGAAAAAAATCAAGAACGCCACTTTGTAGAACAGTGTAGAACTTTGGGTGGAGAAAAGGGGTCTAACCTCAAATTCTATTTTGATCCCTAATTTTTTTATTAGTGCCATTCGATAGTACACGTCGAGCTTTCTCACTGTATCAAATATTTGCAGTTATTCCAATGCCACCCTGTATAAGAGGGACAATTTTGAGACAATCGATTTTTGAAGCTAACTAAAGATATTACTAATACATAATTGAGAATCCATGAATTAATAAATAAATTATATTTCTGAAGTTCTCATTCGTATTTCAACATATATATGGCAACTATGCTATGGTCAGCCCCTACTCACGAAATCATGACGTCAGTCTTCATTTGCGGTAAATTTCTAGCCGTTTGAAAATTACTTTGATAATATTAATGACTTAGCACATCAAATTCGAAAAAAAAACTAAAAAAATATGAAATGGAAACGTTATTGAGTGATGGAAGAAAAATTTGAAAAATTAGTTTACTGGCCCATTATTCGCGACTCACCTCGTATTCTTCCTTCATCGGTATCCTTCTGGAACGTTGACATGACTTGCCGTCTTTCTCTTCTCTGGATACGGAACTCTTCCTCCTCTTCAAGGTACCATCATCTGTTGCCTTGGGTGGAACTCTGACGGGTGGCTCGAGAGGTTCGCACCCTATTTGGGGGTGCGCCGACTGGTAAGCGGGGTTTTTATAGCTAAACGTGGGGTTATTCGTGGGGATATGTGGCATGCTGACGGGTTCTTGCACTTCCGGTTCGGTGCTAGTATCCTCGTTACCTGCACAAAATACATCAAAATACGGATTCCCTCTATACCTTTTCAACTTCAATTTCAGAAAAAGTAATCTCGATTTCAGAATTGGTTAGTTCGATTTCAGAAATGGTAAACTCAATTTCAGAATCGGTGAGATGAATTTCAGAAAAAGTCCATTCAATTTCAGAAATGGTAAGTTGTATTTCAGAATTGGTAGGTTCAATTTCAGAAAAAAATCGTTATATTTGTTCGAAATGTTTCCAATTGTATGTGAGATTATAACAAACCATATTTACAATTTTCAACTTGTCAAAAACAATTCAATAACATAATTATAATCTCAATTCAATCCACAGATGCCTTCCATCCGAATCGCTGGAAGATAATAGCGTTGCACATGATTATGATAATGCAAACACATTTGTTCATTTTCATTGAATAATCTGCACATTCCTCAAGACATCGCAGTCTGAATTCTATCTGGTTGAGCAAGCTGTTCGGATCCCCAGCTATGACCCTTTGGCGATGCTCTTGCAAGAAGCTCTTCACTTCTGACTTGAAGGCACCCCATATATGTTCAATCTGATTCAACATAGGGCTCTCAAACACCGTTCATCCACTGTAAACAATCTTCTCTTTTGCAATTAAAACATTTCAAACATATAAAAGGATTTCATCTCCTGAAATTGAACCTACCAATAATAAATCTGAAATACAATTTACCATTTCTGAAATTGAATGGACTTTTTCTGAAATTCATCTCACCAATTCTGAAATTGAGTTTACCATTTCTGAAATCGAACTAACCAATTCTGAAATCGAGATTACTTTTTCCGAAATATAACTCACCGATTCCGAAATTGAAGTTGAAAAGGTATAGAACGATCCTCAAGGTGAAATCGTCGCCTCAGAGCAACATAAGGACATTCAAAAATGTAGGGCTTTCGAGATTATTGAGGTTCCAGCATTATGAACTATATCGGCACCTAGTGAAACACTCAGACAAGCCTTATGACGTAATTAAATGTTTTATTTTCAACATATCTTTCTGTTGCAGAAGTTCTGAATTCTATATCAAGTCGATGTAATAGTAGGTTATAATACTATATCCTGCTGTATAGCACTGAGATTCTCACACCAATACTGTAGATATCCTAATGATGCTCTATCTCCCAGTTTCGATACTTTTAATTGTCTAATCTTGTTCAGTATTCTGGAAACGATTGAACTGATGAGAATAGTTTTGTATTTGAGTGTCTTACTGGATGTTTATTAATATGAATCCAAAGATGGAACTGAAGAATGATTCATTATCAAGGGGCCAGTACATAGTTGAAATGGCCAAGAAATCTCTAGCGATCTTCATTTTTATACTATCTATTCTTTTTTGTGCCTAATGTATTCGAATTGAATCAATGAAGAGTGTTTAACAAGATGAAAGTACTCTCCTCTGCAGGAGGAAATCCTTGTCAAAATGCTGATTATTTATTAGTAGAACACACTTAGTTAACTGTTCAAAAAATCGAAATTCTCTTCGATATCCTTCAAAATGTCATACAGTTCAATAGCAACAGTAGGACAAGTCGATATTATTCTTCTCCAGAAGCATTTTTCGATCTCAAATTAACACCATTGGGGTTATTCTGGAAGTTCAGAAAGAGCCCAAAATATTTTAGATTGTTGCAATCATGAAAATTTGAAATCGAATTATCTCGGAACGAAGATTTCGTTGTTGTCCTAGGTTGCTCTGAGGCGACGAAATGTATTCGTGGAGTTCATCAGTTCTACAGTCAATAGCCACGTTTATACCGTGCCTTGGTTAGCTGACTAATCTTAACTTAACTAACTTATCACCAGTTTTGGTTTGGTAGCGAAATTTGTTGCATACCAGACTTAAATGATACGATGACCAAGACGGTGTAAACACTTTGATGGTTTACATTTGTATAGTATTGACTTGAGTAGAGTGCAAGTGTCGGTTGTTTCATGATTCTTGAAAACAATATTTCGTTCAATTTCAGCTAATTTTGAATCTTGCTGAAATGTATTATTTATTATTTACATATTCAATAGGTGGAGTTCCATAACCTAAACCTCAAAATAATAATCAAATCAAAACGAAGTTGGTAACGTTAGTCAACTGAAGATAATAATGGTGTAAACATGCGTTGACTGAAGCATTTTGTCTTAATTTGGTTAGATCATCTTGGTAGGCATACGAAATATCCATACGGTATATGAACGTGGCCAATGACTGTAGTTTCTGATAAATTGTATTGATTTTATCTGACTATTCGAAACAGAAACGTTACAGGTTGATTAGTCGAACTTACCCAAATTATAAGTTAAATTGGGTGCATCCAGTACTTCCGCATCTAAGTTATTCAGTTCGTAAGCGTTGTGTGCTAGGGAGAAGTTGAACCTGTGGATAAATGCAAACCGTAAGTTCTATTCAATTTGGATTTATTGAATGAAATCGAAGTTTTTTGTTCCATTCATTTTCTAAATGTGGAATTGAAAGTATAAAAAATTCATAGAATTATTAATTATACACATGGCAATTTTCATTTCAATAGGAAATGCATATAGTTCTGACAATTATCAATATATTTTTCATATATTCCATATTTTTGAATGCACGATAAATTGATATTCTTCATGTAGGACGTGGAGAGAAATTCTGAATTGAGAAAACCTAATCACGAATCTGCGATTGAAAGTCTATAAAAATAACAAGTTTCCAACGTTCAATTTTGAACCCCTTGATTGGGTGAAAGTATTGAGAAGGAATATTCTCAGATAAATTATGAACATGAATAGATGGATATATATATAAATACATGTGATGAAGATATCAATCATTTCTCGGTTTATTCAACCGAAAACTACTACTTTCCTGGCTATATGCCACGACGAACATTGAATTATATCTATTGAACACACACGATAAGAAGAGTGCTGCGAGCTCTGCAGCGACGCCTCGTGGGCTCGTGATACTGGTCGTTCTCGCACCAGTAATAAGAAGAAGACCAATGTAATTCTCGAGATTGAATTTACAAAACAAATTTATACAGAGAGCATGCTGATTGCCAAGCAAGTGGAACTAATGCACATTTTGGTATTAGATTGGTCTAAATTCATGAAAAATCTACTACTTATGCGTGAAGGCGCCGAGTTCGTGGGGAAACTCTCATCGAGGCATGGGTTCGACCCCCCACATGTTATGGATATTTGTGTTTGTATGCTCCCGTAACCCCACATAAGTTTCTACACAAGGATCGATGGTTTTAATGCTGGGACCAATGAAAAGATGCAATTGGAAAATGAGAAAAAATAAAGAGTCAATACAAATACGAAATAATACCAACAAAATGACATGAAAATGAAAATAAATTGAATATTTCAAATTTTGATTTGCGACAGGCCACTGGCGTCTGGTTGGGGTTCTTCAAATGAAAAGAAACGCCAAGGGGGGCATGTCTCCCCCCTTGAGAGAGCAAGCCCATGCCTCACCAAGCAAGTATGCCTAACACACATTTTGGTTTAAGATTGGTCTAAATTCGTGAAAATCCTACTACTTAGGCGTGAAGGCGCTGGGTTCTTGAGGGAACTCTTACCGAGGCATTGGTTCGACCCCCCACTTATGTCATGGATGTGTTTGTATACTCTCCTAACCCCGCACAAGTTTCTACACATGGGTCGTTGATTCAAATGCTGATACCCATAAAAAAATGCAATCGAAAAATGATGAAATATAAAAAAGTTAATACAGATACAAAAACAATACAAGAAATGACAAGAAGTTCCATGAAAATGTCATGCAAAATTGAAAAACGCTAACCTCGGTTTGCGACAGGCTACCGGAGTCTGATTGGGGTTGTACAAATCCAAAGAAACGGGCCGGGGGGGCCTGTCTCCCCCCTCATCTACCTCCAAAAACAGCGAGTCGAACGCGCTCTCGTCGAACGGGTGTTGCGAGCACTTTTGCAGCAACGCCTCGTGGAACTGCTCGTGGTACTGGTCGTGGTACTGGTCGTACTCGCACCGGGAGGCGTCCGACGGGCAGGTAGGACGCCGCTGTCTTAGGGGAGACGCATTGGGGGACGGCGATCGGTCGTAAGCGTCGCGATGCGCGTCCACTAGTTTCCGTCCGGCTATGTCGTTCAGCATGTCGACTGCTTCTTGTCTGGATATAGAAAAATATTCCATTTGATACAGTCAATTTTGAAATTCCATTAATGAGATTAACTCGAATAGGAATAAGAGGTAAAGTTCACTCTTGGAATGAAAATTATCTAGTTGATAGAAAGCAGTTTTGTGTATATGGAAGATTCATTTCCTTCAATAAGAAACATATCTTTTGGTGTGCCCCAGGGATCAATTCTCGGACCTATTCTATCTCAAGTTTGAAATTACAAGGGAATTCGAAATTATTCGCCGATGACAACTCTCTTTTATTACGGAAAAAATATACAAGAAATAAAAAAGCCAAATGGAACAAGATCACGAAAAATATTCCATTTGATACAGTCCATATTGAAATTCTATTAATGAAATTAACTCGAATAGGAATAAGAGGTGAAGTTTACTCTTGGTTTGAAAATTATCTAGTTGATAGAAAGCAGTTTGTGAATTTGGGAGATTCATTTTCTTCAATAAGAAACATATCTTATGGTGTGCCCCAGCGATCTATTCTCGGACCTATTCTACCTCAAGTTTGAAATTACAAGGGAATTTGAAATTATTTGCCGATGACACAACTCTCATTTATTACGGAAAAAATATACAAGAAATAAAAAACTAAATAGAACTATATCTCGCCTCAATTACATTATGATTACAAGATCATAAATTGACACTCAATTTCGATAAATCTTCTTTTATGTTCACCTCGAAAAGAGTTATACCTGATAACCAGATAGATCCTTAAAAATTCGGGAATTTTTGTATGAATCCTACAAAAAATTCTATACTCTTCAGGTTCAACTATAGACCAGTCTCTATCTTGGTCATCGCTTATTTAATTGCTCAGAAAAAAATATCTCCCATTGTTGGTATATTATACAAACTTGATACCTCTAAAATACGTGAAATAAATTTATTTCAATTTGATTTACTCTGAATTGCAGTATTTGATATCGATCTGGGGTACTGCTTCAAAATCTGATTTGAAACCTCTGAAATCTTTTCAAAATAAAGCCATAGAATGTATTTATAAACTACCATTTCTGGAATTCCCATCTAGCCTACACAAACCAAGGGATCTGCTAGATATTGACTCTCTCGTCAGAATGGAAGTATGTATTTTCATTCATTTCACTTAAAATAAGAAAAAGCACTCGAATCTTACTTTCAATATCAATTCTGATACCCATGAAATTCACACCAGACAAAGTGATCATTTGAAAACTGTCAGAAATCCAATTCGGGAAAAAATCATTGTATTTTTGCGGAATAAATTTTTATAATAGTCTACCCAACAGAATAAAATGTATAAGGTCCATCACAAGATTTAAGTGTGAACTGAAGAAATATATTTCATCAATTTGACTCTTTCCTTGTATCAATTCATTCTGATTGAACTATAATTCTTTTTTTGTTTCCTCCTATAAACATTGTATGTTTCTTGGGATCAATAAATGTTATAATTATTATTCTTTCATAATGTATCGTAAAACATAGTTTTACATTCTTCTTTTCTCTCCGTTCTAGGATTATTGAATTTCTGTCTCCTTTCGGTAACAATTTCTCCAGGTTAGACAGAGTTATTTATTGATATTATCACTCGACTTGACCACTAATCCATCAATTTTCAAAAGATTCGATATTTAAGACAAATACGTTTTCATCCGGCCTGGGTACCGGCGTAGAGATAATGGAGTATGATTGACTTTGAGTATGGTTTCCTCATCCGATCAAGCCCATCATCTGGCCTGGGTACCGGCGTAGAGATAAAGGGGCCTGATATTTTACATCAACCTGACTTTCGGCCAGAAGACGCCATGTGTCTTCTACCATGGCCAGAAGGCAAATCCTTCACATTCTTGAATTTCGGTCCGTTGATTCACTTATTACGGCATTGAATACCGTAATGACCATTTAACAGGACTAGTCCAGAAACAAAATTTACAGATAAACCATCATCATATCTTCGTTCTTGATTTCAACTTTGTGGGAAAATCTTCACTGAGGAAATCACTTTTATGTTATAACAAGATGACGATTTTGTGGGTATGCTGCGATTTCAGCAATATTTCAGAGACCAATCCACGCAAAGTACAGGGTGGGCAAAATTGGGCGTTTTCACCGTCTATCTCAATAACTAGAGGAGTTATCGAAAAAGCGATATACATGTTCCGGGTTCGATTTTGGAGAAACCTCGAATGGTGCAATCAAAATTTCGATATCTTCATTCGTTTTAGAGATACAGGGGAAAAATTAAAATTTGCCGATTTCGATTTTATTTTCTGACTACTTTACGGTGAGGGGTATCAAGAAATTTCAAACGTATATTCATACAGTATGATGCGTGGAATCCATTGGCATCATCAGAAATTTTATACAGGGTGACGTTGAGAAAATACGGCAGCCAATTATGTTTTTTCTAATTGAACACCCCGTATATTTTGACACAGTTGAATAGTCCCAGGCGTTCTCATTACAAATATATATATAACCCTACCTTTTCCTTCCACAATTTCAGATATATTCGCAAAAATATATTCAGTATGTCACATTTCTTATGGTTACACCCCCGTATCTTCTGTAAGAATAATTGATGGAAACATTAACAATCATAATATTTTGTGGCAGAATGCCTGAATATGATACTTTACCCATTATTTCTAGTATGCCATAATATTTTTGCGTTCAAAGAGATAATAAATAAGATATATATTTGAAATTGAAACGGGAACTTTCCTCTCTGCCAAAATATACGGGGTGTTCCATAAAATTGTTCTGTATCTGGAATTTGGACATCTTCTATAAGGTTATATTTTTCAACGCAACCTACTGATTTTCTAATTGAGTAAATTATTGGTATTATATCTGTATCTCAAATGTCTTGATAACAATGATATCAAATCGAATAATTTCCCATTTTATTTCTCACCAAATATCCATTTATCTGGAAATTATATTCCCTATGATATTTATTTTCCACATTTGGTGAATATATACAGAGTGTCATTTTCAACCTCTGCCTGCTGATAGCATTATACAGAAATATCGATGATTCCATAGCTGCTGGCGAGCAGTGTTATCATTGGAGATGATCCCACTTGGTCCATGACTCCATGAGTGTATCATTTGTATCTTTCTGACAGTTGCGAATTTTTGAATCCTACCTCAATTATTTTTACAGAAGATACGGGGGTGTAACCATAAGAAATGTGACACACTGAATATATTTTTGCGAATATATCTGAAATTGTAGAAGGAAAAGATAGGGTTATATATATATATTTGTAATGAGAACGCCTGGGACTATTCAACTGTGCCAAAATATACGGGGTGTTCAATTAGAAAAAACATAATTGGCTGCCGTATCTTTTCAACGTCACCCTGTATAAAATTTCTGATGATGCCAATGGATTCCACGCATCATACTGTATAAATATACGTTCGAAATTTTCTCATACCTCTCACCGTAAAGTAGTCAGAAAATAAAATCGAAATCGGCAAATTTTCAATTTCCCCCTGTATCTCTAAAACGAATGAAGATATCGAAGTTTTGATTGTGCCATTCGAAGTTTCTCCAAAATCGAACCCGGAACATGTATGTCGGTTTTTCGATAACTCCTCTAGTTATTGAGATAGACGGTGAAAACGCCCAATTTTGCCCACCCTGTACGTCACCTTGATCGAAACCCCTGTTGAATTTAGCAACACGGTACGAAAAATTACTCGTGTATGGAAACTATCTAACAGTATCAGTATTTTTTTCATGTTCTGGTTCCCAAGAAAAGGGATATCCTGTAATGTTCAGAGAACATCGTGAGAACCAAGGGAAATAAGGTAGGAATTGGTGTTCTTCTTGAATTGAAGCAGTTATCAAAGTCTTGGTTCCGGGGCATACCGGACTGGAGGGGAATGAAATAGCATATAGACTCGCGAAGGAAGGGGCTGTAACACCATTCATGGGACACGAACCCTTCTGTGATATCAATAAAACAATAGTTGGTTAATTGAATGGAGAATTATTTGTAAAGAGAGCTAAATACTGCCTACAAGGTATGAAAAATGCGAAGACACTCCTAAGCACCCACAGCCCGAAGAGATCTACCGAATGCATCAACCTAAGTGAAAATAAGATCCTAAAGCTACCTGGAGTCCTCTCAGGACACTGTCGATTGAGAGGAGAACTGAAGAAACTCCAGGAAATAGAGGAAGCAGAGTACAGATTAGATGAGGAAGAGGATCCATGCACATCCTCTCGAACTGTGTAGCGCTTTGCAACCAAGGCTAGCCTCTTCGAAACCATTTCATATCCTCTACTTCCTGAGAAGAATAGGATTAGAAGAACAACTATAATTGAGGAGTCCTAGGATGCATAGCAAGAAGGGGGGACACAATAGATCACATGGGTCGCAGTGTACACATCACCCTCATCTACACATCCATAGATACATACATACATACATATATCTAGGTGAAAGAAATATTGACCAATGACCCCCTTTAACTCACCTCAAATTCGCTTTACGAGAGAACGAGCCCCTGGGCGTGGTCTCAGACGGCGATAGCGTCGCGACTGGCGTCTGAGCAGCGTCCCTGTACAACCTGAGTTTCACCACGTCAGGACACCGCCTCAGGAACTGCACCGCTTGTTCGTGCGTCATCGGGCAGATTTCTGAGTCGTTGACGGCGATGATCTTGTCGCCCGCCCTGATCCGCCCATCGGTTAGGGCAGGTTCGCGGACCAGGGCGCGCACATAGTGCCCCAGGGCGCTGTCGTCCTCCTTGCGCAGGGTGAAGCCGAGAGAGCCTTGGATCTTGGTGAGCGTGATCTCGAATTCCTGGGAGATTGATAATAATAAAAATGAATCATTTATTTTTCTTTTGATAATACAAATATTATATAGGAATAGTCAAATTATTGTCAGAATCAAAGATTCATAATGATAAAAATTCTCCTACACTGTAAATAGTAGATTGTTTTATTAGGATCAAAAGTGACACTTTGTTTGACAAGCGAATTTTGCATTTGCGAGGCGGAGCGTTTAGCGAAGCCGAGCGAAAGCAAAATTTGCGAGTCGAACAAAGTCACTTTTGATCCGAATGAAAAATGCTATTTTTTCTGCAACCGAAACAATCAACTCGAATAAACATGTGAAGTAACCATTAATGCCGTGCCATATATATGCAATGCAACAAATATTGACAAATAATCCATGTGGTGAGAATATTCTACCTGCATTAACAGCGGGTTAGGTTTTCTAGGATGTTCAATATAAATACAACCACAGAGTGTTATATTTGTGTATGGACCAGGTGCTCTAATGGCAAATACCGCGTCAGTGCCAGCTATAGGAACAAGACGTGGAAAATGTTAGGTTAGTGAGCATATCAACAATGATAATAGTGATTATTTATTCCTCTCCATACTACACTGTGTTTGACTTGATAATCAAATGAAGCTAAACAATATCGTTGTTTGAGACGAAAAAACTATTGCTTGCCGTGATTATTCAAAAACAAGTTATCCATCCCGAGAATAACGAATGAAATACAGATCAAGCAAGTATTTGAATCTGGAAAGCTTCCCTGATCAAAACAAAAATACTTAACTGAGATGTTTATAATTCCAATACTAAACTATAATGAGGTGTATTTATATCTCCAGCATGGGTATGAAATGCCAAATCTGCTGAAATCGGAAAAAAATCAGGTAAGAGTCTCAATCGAAATAACCAACCGTCGCAATGTTGTTTATTCTTGATGACGTCCAGTACATCCTTTTTAGTTCCTAGGAGCTAAAGTTCAACATTAGCTCCTAGGAACTAAAATTCAATTTTAGCTCCTAGAAACTAAATATGTTGCCTAGCAACATACCTATTTTTGTGTCAGTAATAGAAACGTCAATTTAAGAGCAAATTCTGGTATCAAAATGGACGACTAGCTTTTGTGTCGGTTGCAGAAAAAACCTTTTTTTTTTTCTACAAACGCTTAACAAAGTAGTCTTTGACGCTTTCAAATTCCAGCACAAAGTTGACGTTTTCCCAGAAATGTCATTCTTTGACAGCATTTGCGCTCGTGAGCGGAAATATTGAAAAAACGCTCGCTTATTTCTGTAACCTATACTTATCTATTCTTGAAAACCCCCAATTCTTTCAGTGAATCATCAAACACACCTTCTTCCTGATGATATAGCAGAAAGCGCAAGAGTTTAAGTCTTTTACCGGAGAAATCAAGGAAATATGAATTACAATATGATACATTCATAAATTGGTGCCACTCCGAGATGGTGAATATGTATTCATAAAACGTTTTACTGGCTTATTTTGGTAAAAAATCAAAGACTTTGAAGTCATCAACTCATTGGTCTATATATTTGATGGTACGTATACATGCTTGAATGTTAAAGATAATATCGGAATCAATAAGTACCTGAAACTTATCGCATTTCTCAAGAAACAATCTATTGGATATAAAGCGAGAAAAATCCAAAACATTCACCGCTGAAGATATATACCAACAAATTTCTACAAGAAGCTCCCGATGAAGCATATCTGTTGATGAAAATGATGAATTATACTTTATATTTAAACTCTTTGTTGTCATCAGAAAGACAGTGTATCTTTATTTTATTGCATCAATGAGTAATATTCAATTTGATTGCAGAGCTTATCGTACTATGGCTCAGAGGTCTGAAGCTCAGGTTGCCACGCTGGTGGTCCAGTTTCAATTCTCGGTAGGCCCGACATTTTTTTTCTGGCTTGTCAGTTATTTCAATTTTTCTTTTTTGTTTCCTTTGGACATATGGGATAATATGGATTTGAACTTTCTCAACTATTTCAATCGCTCATACTTTCAGGGTAGTTATTTCCAAAAGCTGCGTTAGTAGAAAAAATCTTGTGTGTATTTCGAGCACAAAGTGTTATTGCCGCTCTCCAAAGATTACCGCAACTTTCTTTGTCGAGCGGCAATCTATCACTTTGCGCTCTAAATACACAAATAGCTATTATCTACTAAAAAAGTTCTAAGCCTACGTTCGAATAAAGATATAGAATCACTATTTTTAATTATGTCAGGTAAATGATTGAACATTTTGGGCCCAATATATTTAGTTTGGAGCAACAGAAGTTATTTAAAATTTAGCATATGGTACGTGGAAAAGATTTTTGCGTCTTGTATCAATTCGATGAATAGCGCTATTTAATACAAAATTTTATTTGTTTTCAAATACATGTACACATGTTTCAAATATGAGAATACAAGGCAATGTCAGAATATGAAACTGAAGAAACAAATCCTTGCATGTTTTTCTTCTCGATACTCTGCCAATACACCTAACAATACGCTTTTGTGCGATAAACACATTTTTGGCCATCGTGGTATGACCCCAAAGGCAGCCACCATATACCTCAGTCTACATCCCACCTGAGCATGATATGAACTCAGCAACTGATTTTCATCAAGCACAAAATGTAAATTCATGAAAAGATATGCCAGAGAATACAATTTTGAAGCAGTCAACTCTATGCAAGTTAACTCAAAACTAGTATGGGACTGCTTAGAAACCCTAAATGCACTGGGCAGTCAGAACAGATTGACCTAGCATGGGTACCAGCACATACAGGGTACGAGGGCAATGAAGAGGCAGACTCACTTGCCCGAGCAGGAGCAAACAAAGCTCTTAATGGCCCAGAACCCTTCTGTGGTATTGCGAAAGCTATACAAAAGACTAGTATCAAATCATGGATGCAAACCAAATCTCAAGAATGGTTCAGGTTCTGTCAAGAAGAGGAAGAATAACAGCAGTACACATACTTTGCCACTGTGAGGGCTTGTCAAGACTAAGGTTCCTTACGCTGGGTGAGGAAAAACCAGGAGCCCAGAGATACACAGGAGATCTGAAAGCTAGCCTATGGAGTCTCATAGAGAAGGCGGGGCTAGCCGAAGAACTCTAAAATCGATTTTGAGGGCAGACACAATAGATCTGAAAAGGTCGCAGTGTGGAGGCAGATAGCCCGAAGGCCCCATTCCAAATCTAATCTAAGCTAATACAATTTTGAAACTAACACTCATCGAAATTTATCCCTAACAATTTTACTGGATCATTAGTATTTTTCAAAATATAGTTATTATGGTCGAATACAAGTTGATCTATCTTATTCTGACGATGATGAAATCTGATGATTTGTGTCTTTTCAACATTAGAAAATAGATCATTATCATTGAAGTAATCAGATGCTAGACTTACAGAATTAATACATTTTTCGACCACAGAGAGCGAATCAGGTGCCAATAATACAATCAGAGAAAAATCATCTGCAGTAGCAGTGCAATTAACTTTATTAAGAATGGAATGAATTTGATTGACATACAGTATGGCTGTGTGTTATTAGACCATTGTCGATCTAAATGAAAACCTAGTAGGCGACCTAATGTGAGGAGGTATTATATTGTCTGTTCAGTGAATCGGAATATGTCTGTCTGTCAAGTGGCGCTGGGGAAGAGACTTTGGAAAGAGCTTATTCGTTCATGTCAAAATAGACCATATTAGGTTAATATTCTCTTCTTCTATTTTTCTCCAATATGTACTCAACCACAGACGTCCTTTCCATCATTGACGTGATATTTGATTCGAAGGCGATGAAGAAGAAGATTCTTTCTTCAGATTGAGATGTCGTAATCGTGAAATTATTTTCTGAAAGTTGTCATTAACGTATAACTTTGTCTTTGTGGATGTTTTGAACTTTGAATTCGAATCTTTGAAAATTACAATTACACCTAATTATTTCTTCTAGTAGGTACCTACTGGTTGTTCTATTGAAGTTTGTTGATTGGTTTGTGAGTGCAATTTTGTTATTTTGCAATGGCATCTGGAAACTTTCCACTCCAGGAGGTTGAGGTGTAAAATTATCAAGACATGGTTTCCCCATGTGAATTTAAGCCTCAAATTCTGAGGCATCAATGGGTTTATGCCATATTCATTTGCTCGGTTTTCATGTCCAAAAAGTATGAAACACTAAACAGTTCCTACTTAAATTCAAGTTGCATCATGAATCATGCTAATACAGCATTGCCTAAACATCTTCCTGCTTCCATTCAAGTAAAGTTAGATGATTTTCATACTCGATAAAATCTTTCGTGATAATGTTTTATCCTCGGGTTTCAACATGACAGATATATAAATAGTTATTATATATTAAGGGAGCAGAGGTATCCATTTCTTCCCGCGTATGAAGTGCAAGACGTTGCTGTTTCGGTTCACCGTAGCCGATCACTTACACCTAAATACATACTTATTTGGGGATGAGATCCCTAGATAGAGAGAGATGGTTCTACAATTTTCTCACCCCATGGTAATATTCATCTTCTGGCGTATTGTAGACATTTGTCGGCAAGTTGAGGCTGTTTGGGGGCTCTCGCCTAGGTGGTGGTGGGGGGACTTCCGAAATAGGACTGACGCAGTTCAGTACGTCGGGGGGAGGTCTGCAAACTTTCAGGTCCACCTGGTTCGATGCCGTTCGCAGCACTTCCAAAGCTTCCTGAGAATTTATTACGATAATTTGAAATTCACTCACAAATAGTTTCGATTACATCAGAAGATTGCCACAATGAGTACTATGAACTTGAAAAAATAGTGTTGAGATTTCTCAAAGAACGTTCTGAACACAAAAAATCACAGATTCCGAAAAAAAGAAATGAAAAATAGGGTGTTCCATTAAAAAAACAATTTGTGGTTTGTCATGCTTCAAGGGATCACCCTGTAAACTTTCTGATAAGGGATGTGGAAAGGCCTCAGTGCGGCATTCAACTTCCGCATATCGTTTGTTTCTTCTTGATATAAAATAACTTGAATATAGGGGTGGGCCTTCTCGATGGATAACCACAGTTTGAGAACCGCTGAATATAATGTATAAACTGCTCAACAATAAAAAAAGTGATCCTGCACTATCCCGACCCTATAAAAAAATCACGTAATTGGTGAGTCCGATGAGAGTGACGCTGAATGTATAAACTGCTCAATAATGAAAAACTTACGCTGCATAACATGAAAAAACTCACGTACAGGGTGATTCACCATAAATGCCCCCCCCCCCCTCTAGCTCAGTTATTTTTTAACCGATATAAAAATTTGAAATATCATCTCGAATGATTTTCGATGAAGTTTTTTTCTGCTACATCAGAAGATACAGGGTGCTCGGAACAAACGATCTATAGAGTACTATTTGATTTTTTTAAATGAAACACCCTATTTTTCATTGTATTTTTAGATTCTCCCTGAAGAGCTGATTTGATCGATGTATCACACTCAAGGTTAAGCGGTAATGATTACAGAGATATAGGGTGTTCAAAATGGAGAATTTTCAACTTTAGGATTTTTTTGTGACGAAACTATTCATTATTGGTCAAAACGGCTTCCATGTCAGTACCACAAGTTTCGATTTACTATCTACTGACATTTAATAATTGGAACAGATACAGGGTGATCAGAATTCTGAATCTTGAACCACCCTGTAAATGTTCCAATTAAATGTCACTAGATAGTAAATCAAAAGTTGAGATAGGGACATGGAAACCGTTTAGACCAATGATGAATAGTTTCGACAGAAAAAAATTATTCGAAAAATCTCGATTCTGAACACCCTATATCTCTGTAAACATTCCCGCTAGACCCCAAGTGTGATACATCGATGAAATCAGCTCTTCAGAACGAATCTAAAAATACAATGAAATATAGGGTATTTCATTTGAAAAAATCGAGTAGTACTCTGTAAGTCGTTTGTTCCGAGCACCATGTATTTTCTGATGTAACGGAAAAAAATTCTGAAAAATCATTTCGGATTTTTCAAATTTTTAAATCGGTTCAAAAATAAGTGAGCTACAGGGGGGACATTTATGGTGAATCACCCTGTACCTAGTGAGACTAGTGTGAGCGACGCCTAATGTATGAACTGCTCAACAATGGAAAAGTTACGCTGCATAACATAAAAAAACACGTGGTTAGTGAATCCGGTGAAAGCGACGCCGAATGTAAAGACTACACAACAATAGAAAATATATGCTGCATAATAATTAAAAACGCACGAATGTATAAACTATTCAACAATAAAAAAAATAGGTTCAATGAAAATAATGAACTCACGAATGTATAAACTGCTCAACAATGGAAAAGTTACGCTGCATAACATAAAAAAAACTCACGTAGTTGGTGAAAGCGACGCCGAATGTAAAAACTGCACAACAATAAAACAAATTTGCTGCACAATAATAAAAAACGCACGAATGTATGAACTACTCATCGATGAAAAAAATGGACTGAATAAGAATGATTAACTCACGAGTGTATAAACTGCTCAACAATGAAACAGTTACGCTGCATAACATAAAAAAACCCACGCAGTTGGTGGAAGCGACGCCGAATGTAAAAACTGCACAACAATAAAAAATATATGCTGCACAATAATAAAAAACGCACGAATGTATGAACTACTCATCGATGAAAAAAATGGACTGAATAAGAATGATTAACTCACGAGTGTATAAACTGCTCAACAATGAAACAGTTACGCTGCATAACATAAAAAAACCCACGCAGTTGGTGAAAGCGACGCCGAATGTAAAAACTGCACAACAATAAAAAAGATATGCTGCACAATAATAAAAAAAGCACGAATGTATGAACTCCTCAACATTGAAAAAAATGGACTGAATAAGAATAATGAACTCACGAATGTATAAACTGCTCAACAATGGCAAAGTTACGCTGCATAACATCAAAAAACTCACGTAGTTGGTGAGTCCGGTGAGAGCGACGCCGTTGACCTCCAGTAGCAGATCGCCGACGGCGAGGACGCCGCACGCCGACGCCGGCTGGTGCGGAAAAAGACGCTTGACGCGCACCAGGCCGGGCCAGGGGCCTCCCCCGTCAACGCCCCCCGTCACGCTCAGGCCGAGCCCACGTTGCCCCTTGATCAGTTTCACCACGAACGTGCTTTCTGGAATATAAACAAAAATAAGACAATTTTTCGTTAAAGAATTCTTGAATTTTTCGGAACTCTCTGGAATTCCGTGGAATTTTCGAAATTCTTTGGAATCCTGTGAAAATCTCTGGAATGATATGAAATCCTCTGGAATTCCTTGAAATCATCTGGAATTCTCTGGAATCCCCTGAAATTTCGTGGAATCCCCTGAAATTTCGTGGAATCAATCCCAAGGAATTCCTTGAAAACCTCTAGAATTCCTTGAAAACTCCTAGAATTCCCTGAAATCCCCTGGAATATCCTGAAAACCCCTGCAACTCCTTGAAAACCTTCAGAATTCTTTGAAAACTCCTGGAATTCCGTGAAAATCCCCGGAATTCCTTGAAAACCCTCGGAATTCTTTGAAAACCCCTGATATTTTTTGAAATTCGAAAACCCCTGAATTTCTTTGGAATCCTCTGAAGTTTCTTAGAACCCTCTGCAATTCCTTGAAATCATCTGTAATTCCTTGGAATCCTCTGTAATTCCTAGAAATCCTCTGTTAATTCTTTGATTTCTCTGTAATTTCTTGAAACACTTTGTAATCACTTGGAATCGTCTGTGGTTCCTTTGAATCCTCTGTAATTCATTGAAATCCTCCGTGATTCCTTAGAATCTTCTGCAATTCTTCGAAATAATCTGTTATTCCTTGGAATCTTCTGTAATTCCTTGAAATCCTCTGTAATTCCTTGGAATCCTCTGTAATCTCTTGGAATCCTCTGTTATGGATCTCTTAGTTATGAGATCTAGCAATTCAACAGGTCGGTGGATAAATCGTAAAAACTTCACAAACGATAAGATTTCCGAAGCTACTGACGAAGCTATTCTGTGAGCGAAACATGTTGTGTGTTTGAGGATTTTGTGGAAATCTTATCGTTTGTGAAGTTTTTACATTTGTCATGGATTTCCATCAAGTAACGGCCGAGTCAATTCAAAAAAAGGTGGATAAATCCACTCAAGTATGTCAGGTAGTGCCATCTGTCAGCAGAGTGGTTTACTTGTAGGGACTGACCATAGATGGCAGCGCCATACAGTGTTTGTCACGATCTTTGGATCCTACCTCAGAGCTTTGCCACTAGATGGCTACAACATGACTATACCTTCATGTCATACCCTGCCTCTGTTATTCCTTGGAATCCTCTGTAATTTCTTGGAATTCTCTGGAACCCCTTGAAATCGTCTAATCCCTTGAAATCCTCTGAAATGTTTTGAAATTCTCTGGAATGGGGAAGACCACTGAGGGAAGAAAACCTCTTTCAATCGACGAATCATGATTTACATTTTATGTACAATCAATATTATGAGTTGAAGTTGAGGGGAATCGAATCTATATCGTTCTGAAATCAGCATATTTCATTCGATATTTCAAACAGCCAAATATGATGGTGGAGTCGTGACGTATTAGTCCCGAACTGTAACTATCTCTCTCTGATACCTCGTCATTCTGCAGTGTTGCAGTGTGATTGGTCAGGGTGGAGTCGTGACGTATTAGTCCCGAACTGTAACTATCTCTCTCTGATACCTCGTCATTCTGCAGTGTTGCAGTGTGATTGGTCAGTTCAAGGACGATAGGCGTGTTGGGAATAAGACGTCGCACCAGTCACACCAATGAATTGATGAAATTTCAAATGGCGCAGGAATTGTGTGTTTTGAAATGGATATATACTAATTTATTTGTTTCATCGTCTTAGCATGAATGAAAAAATTCAAAATTTATTCACTGGTAGTTTTTCAGTATATAGTTCACGATAATGTCGTTTTAAAAAATCAGTGGTCTTCCCCAATATCCTCTTTAATTCTTTGATTCTCTCGAAATCCTTAAAAACCTCTAGATTTCCTTGGGCTCCTCTAGAATTCCTTGGACTAGTGGAATTCTCTGGAATGGAGTCATGCAAGTTCTCTGAAAATCCTTCGAAGTACCTAACCTGAAATCCACGTGAATTATGTGAAATCTTTTAGAATTCTATATGGAAACCTCTGGAATACTGTGGAAACCCTTGGAGTTCATTGGAATCATCTAGAATTCATTGGAATTCTCTGTAAATCCTTGAGAGTTTTTTGTAACCCTTCAGAATTGTTTGGAAACTTCTGAAAGTTCTTGAAATCATCTGGAATCCTTGAAATTTCCAGAAATTCTTTGTAAGTCTATGGAATTCATTAGAAATCTTATTCGACGTAATTCAAAAGTTCTTGGAATTTTTCAGATCTTGAAACCACGAAATCGATTCGAGTTTCATGGAATCATTCAGAATTACTATGATTTGCTTATTGTGATCCTATTCAAATCCTATCGAAATCAATTGGACGTCCTCTAAAGTTCCTCTCACAATTCAACCGTGATGTGGAAAAGTTGAAAATTGGATTCATATGGAGTTTCTTGGAATGTTTTTTAATTCCTTGTAAACCGTTCGAGGATTCTTCAGAATTTTCAGGAAATCCTTGAAGTTCATTTGAATATCTTCGAACTTGAAACCTTCCGGAAATTCCCCAGTCCTTTTATAGACTCAACTGTTGATACGCCACTACTTTTAAATCAGATCATATCCAAACATTCCATCCCAAATGATTCTTCCGCAGATACAAGCTCTCTCTAAATAGAAACTCCGAAAAATCGTTTCGTTTTTCTCCTTCTCTCATTGGGATTCGCGTCTCGTTTTTAATTCGAATTTCTTTCTGGGGATGTGGCCAAAACGTGAAATGAGTTTTATGTACGAATTACCTATTACTCGAGTGTCATGAATTGGATTCCACCGAATCTTCTTTCAATTCCGCAAGCTATTTCCATTATTTCGCTCAAACTTTGTACAAGTGTGCTCGTAGAGAACGGAATGTTGGAGAGCTAACAGCAACAATCAAGTTCTGACGAATTTCAGAGCTTTCCGAGTAAGGGACGTGAACTGATTTTCTAGCACTATTTTTCTCAGTTAGTTTGTATTCACCAATGTATTCTGGGTGATTCTAAAGTGTTGATGGTAAAATAAAGAAGTGGTTTGACTATAGATTGTTATCGATAAATTTCGACAAAACGTACTACTTACCATTCAGTAGCTATGATATATCCTTGCCAGAATATAACTTAGTAGTAACAGTAGGTGTTTGGGATCACACGTTAAAAGGTAAGGCCCCCGTCATTCCTTGCTCGCACAAGACTTTCGAAGACTTTTGAGGGTTGCTCGTAAGGGGGCAACCGAATGACGGATAGAACAAATTTTAGAACAAACAAATTTTAGAACAATATCCGACACGACCACCATCAGACCTGTCAAAAAAATCAAATACCTCGGAATAATTCTAGATAATCATCTGAGATGGGACCAACAAGTATTACATGTTGTAAAAAAACTTCGATGCATTCTGTACAAATTCAAAAAAATAACTGGCGTACTCAACCATAAACATAAAATAATTTTGTACAAAAGTCTGGTAGAATCTCACTTGAGCTACGGCATAATTGGTTGGGGGGGAGTCTCTAAAACATATCTGCACTCCATCGAAGTCATTCAAAAACGTTTCTTGAGATGTATTCTGCAGAAAAGATACAACTATCCTACCAATTCCTCTACACGGAAACTGCAATATTTGATCCAAGACAACTGTTCTTCATAAACATAACTACAGTTCAATATAAAAACAAAAACGAATTGATTACCTACAGTCATAACTATAGAGAAGTCGCCACAAAGAAAGTATTGTTATACCAGTCATGCACAAGTCAGTCGGCCAAATAAACTATCATTACTTGGGTCCAAAACTCTTCAGCTGTCTACCAGAAATACTAAAATGCGAGCCAAACCCTAGGAAATTTAAGAATGAACTTAAAATCTATGTTCAACATACTTGCCGTGCAGAAATACACGAGATGATCGAAATATAAATGTGAAAAATTGTCCTATAGTATACGCCTCGGTATACGCTTATCTTACCTTCTTTCAAGTCGTCAAATTATTATCGTAATCATTTTATGCATATATCATCCATCATCTTTTGTCTAATTTAAAATTCTTTTTATTCTTCAGTTTTATCAGTTAGTTATATTCTCTGTTGTAATTTTATTTATTTTATATATTTTTTATTCATATCTATATTTTTTATGATACTATATACATATATATTTAAACCAACATCATTCTTTTGTATATCCATAATTATTATTTCCACTCATGAACATGTATTGTAATATTGATTGATATCTATGTATTCTTACACACAAGCAGACTTGCCCTGCTTCGTAAGTATTTTCAATTTATTCACAATTCGCCATTCTATGAATGTGCTCACATTGTATTTTTAACTTGTACCGTGAGTGAATAGATTATCATTATTATATTACTCTCATTGCATGTATTCGAATTTTTTGAATCAGGCCACTCTGTATCAGAAATCATCAACAGTAATTGTCACACAAGTGGTGGTAATTTTTTGACTTCGTCTACTCGTGAGATTTCTATAGCAACAAAGATTCGTGTATCTAGTTTCAATTATAAAAATAATACCACCACGGATGTAATTCGGCGTGATAATTTTTTCAACTTTTTCGCAAAATGCCATGCGAAAACTGTTCACGCCCCACCTCTTTAGTTTAGTAAAGTTCTCTAGTATAAATAGTTAATAGTAGATTGTTTTATTAGGATCAAACGTGACACTTTGTTTGACGAGCGAATTTTGCATTTGCGAGGCGGAGCGTTCAGCGAAGCCGAGTTCAACTTTAGCTCCTAGGAACTAAAATTCAACTTTAGCTCCTAGGAACTAAATATGTTGCCTAGCAAACATACCTATTTTTGTGTCAGTAATAGAAACGTCAATTTAAGAGCTGATTTTGGTATCAAAATGGACGACTTTTGTGTCGGTTGCAGAAAAAATTAATTTTCTTTTCATTCAAAATCATATTATCACAAAATTTCTTATATTGTTATCTCGGCGATTGTTTATTGAGAATATTAATTTCCTTGTATCTCAATTCTCGAATATTCCGCGAA